GGTTGCAAATGGCAACATACCTGTCATAAGCCATAACAGTCAGAATAAGGCATTCAGTGGCCCCTAAACAAAGGAATAAATACATTTGAGTAGCACACGCTATAATGGAAATGCTTCTGTCTTGTCTGGAGAGACTGGTTAATAACCTGGGGAGAATGACTGACACATAACATATTTCTAAGAAAGAAAAATTTCCAAGGAAAAAATACATGGGAGTCTGCAGAGAAGGGTCAGTCCTAGTAATTATGATGATAAAACTATTGCTCATCACAATAATTAAATACATTATCAAAAACACCACAAAAAGAAATTCTTGCAAATTGGGAACATCAGAAAATCCAATTAAGATGAATTCTAACAACGTGGAACGGTTCTTTTGTTGTGGAGTTTTTAATATGGATCCATCCATGGATGACAGGTATCAAGGCTATAAGTCATTTACTCCATAGAATTCAAAAAATTTGTGACAAATTGTGTGTCAAATCCACAGACACAGTAGTGATGTCCACTTGTATTTATTTCCTTGAGTTATTTGCAAGCCTATATAGTCCCGTTTCCTAAATTTTCATAGAATACAAGAAAAGGATATTTAAAACCTTTTTTTCAATGATGTGGGAGTGATTTCTTATTAATAAAGAAACTGCCTAGACCCATTTGATAGGCCAACCCTTAGGTAGGTGGAGTAAACAGAACGGAATGCTGGGAGAAAGAAGCTGAGTCAGGGAGTCACCATGGTTCTCCCACTCCAGACAGACGCAGGTTAAGATCTTTCCTGGTAAGCCAGCTCGTGGGCTACGCAGATTAATAGAAATGGGTTAGATCAATATGTAAGAGCTAGCCAATAAGAAACTGAAACTAATGGGTCAGGCAGTGTTTAAAAGAATACAGTTTCTGTATAATTATTTCGGGTAAAGCTAGCCATGCGGGCGGCCACGTGCCAGGGACGCAGCCCTGCCGCTCGTAACACAACAGAATGGCGCCCGACGTGATGGACTAAATCCACTTAAAAACCTGAGAAGGCTTAAAAATAAGGGAGAGAGACTTTAACACAGATTTTTGCTGTTTGTTGGTGGCGTGCTGTAGAGAGATTTCCTGATTCGGCAACAGCAGCAGAAAAAAAAAGCTGCGTCATTTTAAAGTGCGGCTTCTTGGGACTGTGCCGCCAGTGCAAACTCTGGCTTTAACGCATTTCAATGGATTTTATGGGACTGGATGTTTGTGTTCCAGCTTGGGATCTGAAGGAGAGTGCTCTCAGCGCTCCCCGCCTGCACCTGGGCAGATGGCAGAATCAGGCTTAGGCAGGCAGAAGAGCATGGTGGAAGAGACATGTTTTCAGACTCCGCAGTGCTCTGCGTGTCAGATTTGGTTGTAACTTGGATAAAAAGAGTTTCTGTGCTGCATGCTCAGTCTCAAAATTAAACTGCTGAGTGCGGCTCCAATGAGGACTTGCTGTGTGCCTGGAACTGTGCACAGCTCAGGGGCACCAAATGGATCTGAGGCAGGAGCGGCTGCTCCTTGCTGAACTGTGCTGGTTGGCAGGAACTACCGTAATTACCATAATAACAGCACAGTTAAGGTTTAGACTGGGCAGGACACAGGTGGTACCGTATTACCTGTACATGGTGCAACTTAAGTTTTCAAGAAGTGCTTAACATTTTAAGAAATGCTCCTGGATAGTAAAAATATTACAGATTCACAATAAAACAGATTCAGACATAACAGACCTCAGTGGATCACAGTGTTGGATGAATGTACATAGGCTTGAGAGAGAGAAGAATAAGAATATAGAGAATAAAGTAAATGTCTTAAAAAAAGGGTAAAGTCTTTAAAGAGACAGAGTACAGATAGTTAAGAGATTAAAAGAAATAAAGAAAAATAAGCCACGTAAAAATGGAAAATTCACAGAGAGTCTGGATTATGTACATTGTGTTTTCTTTAAAATTTTTGACTGTAAAGGAGCTAAGTACAGACAGACATTTCATTACATGGGCTGCCAAGCTAAACCAGAATGGATATAAGGGTATTACGATTTCAAAATTTGGGTCTAAGGATATGATACTTTGGAAAGGGTCTTCTTTTGTTTTCACAGAGGACCAGACCCTGTGGATTTCTTCTATCCCAATTTGGTATGATGGACCACGCCCTCCTGAAGGGTTGGTGTGAAGGCCTTCAGAAAATTGCTTCGCTCAACTGCCAACTGAGATAAAACTAGCACACAGGTTATACTATGAAAGACCTAATTAACGACGCCCCCATTCAGCAGGAAGCAGTTTGGAGAGAAAAAACTGCGCCCATGTTCCCAAATATGGTTTATAAACGTCCTTTTACATTTAAAGGGGGATATGATATAGATATGAATAATTTACATTAGTATAGATTTTGCTTTATTGATAGAGATTTAAGGTCAATTTTGTTATATATATATAAGTGTTTCTGATTTTGATTAAGGTATTGTGATTGTGTAGTTCATTTAAATATGTACTGTATAATTAAGAAATATAGGTTGTTAATGGATAATCATCGATAATAGTAAAGCTTGTAGTCATGTTAGTTAGATTTTCTAGATATATAGAGATGTATTTCAGTTAGATAGACATTCTTCATGTCTTTCAAAGATTACAGAATAGGACATTTAATGTTTTAATAACTGAGGACTTTTCATGACAATGAGACACTCTGCTCCTGGCAGCACCAATCTACTTCAAGAGGAAGATGGGCATCGAAGAGGCTTGTTATGGAGTTTGATAGCCATTTGGGCAAGAAACTGCTCTTGCCTGAACTGTTGCATAAAATGGACACAGAGAACCCACAGAGAGAGGACTGCTGAACTTGCCTTAAGGTGAGACGGTCTTTTGGGGTTCATGACTCATGAAAGAGTCTGCGAGACATTCTGCAGGACACAGCAGATAGTGACTGAACTGTCGTTGAAATTTCCTGCTTCATGGAAATGTCTGCTGGATACTATGGGCCTGAAGACTGAAGATGGATGCCCCAACCATACAAAAGAACTTTGGGTGACTGTCCAGGCAGCAAGATGTCTCTGTCATTTCTAGAGTTTTCTTATTTCTTGTTTACTTAGGTAGTATTATATCCTTCTGGAGTCTTTAATGGAGTTGAAGAATGAATAGATAGTTATAGTTTTCCTTAGTTATGATAAAAGATAAAATAGATATAAATATTGTAACTGTAATTCTTGCTTGATAACTGTTTTGCTATATGTAATTTTACTATGTTAAAGTTAAAGCCTTTCTTTTTTGTTTAAACAGAAAAAGGGGAAATGATGTGGGAGTGATTTCTTATTAATAAAGAAACTGCCTAGACCCATTTGATAGGCCAACCCTTAGGTAGGTGGAGTAAACAGAACGGAATGCTGGGAGAAAGAAGCTGAGTCAGGGAGTCACCATGGTTCTCCCACTCCAGACAGACGCAGGTTAAGATCTTTCCTGGTAAGCCAGCTCGTGGGCTACGCAGATTAATAGAAATGGGTTAGATCAATATGTAAGAGCTAGCCAATAAGAAACTGAAACTAATGGGTCAGGCAGTGTTTAAAAGAATACAGTTTCTGTATAATTATTTCGGGTAAAGCTAGCCATGCGGGCGGCCGCGTGCCAGGGACGCAGCCCTGCCACTCGTAACACAACAGAATGGTGATGGGATAATAGATTTGTAATTGTGAGTTACTGTTTTTAGACAAATACATTGGTATAGATTCTTGTATATTGATACAAAGTTAAATTATATTGACTATTGTACGCATGCATGTTTCTACCTCTGTTTAAAACATTTTTTTATGTATTGACATATATTGTATTGATATATATATATATATTGTATATATTTACCATATTGCAGTGTACATTTCTACCTCTGATTAAGATACTTATATAATGATTGTGTATTGATATATATTTGCCTACTGCAATGTATATTTGTACATTGTTTATATTTGGAGGTCATTGTCCTCATTTGTTTCACAGTCGTTTATTGTCTTAGTCTTTAAGTTAGATAGATATTGAGAATTATATAGACTAATAGTCATCTAAGTTTGTCATTTATAATAGACTAATCAGGTTCTTTAGATATATAGAGATTATACTCAGTATAGATAGATAATCTTCAACTTCTTCAAAGAGCTGTAGAAAATGGCCTTTAATCTAACTCAGAGTTTTGTGGTAGTGAGACACAATTGCTCCTGGCAACACCACTCTATTCCCGAGAGAATGTTGAGCACCAAAGACACTCCACCTGGAGCCTTTCTTTTTGGCAGAACTGGCGTTTGGGCAAAGAAATGCCCATACCTCAACAACTGACAAAGATACAGAGCATGCATCAATGGATAAAACAGGACTGTCATATCCTGCCAAGACAGGGTAAGATAGTTTTGAAAAGTTGCTTGCCTTAGAAAATGGTATGTCAGTTATGTTAGGCCTTAGCCAAAGTTGGTTGCTTCAACGCTGCTAATGTGACTTTGGGTGATTGCCCAGGTAGCTAGTTGTCTCTGTAATTTGTTGCATGTTTTGGAAGTTGTTCTACTGAACTTCCTAATTACCCAGGTAACATTATTTCCCTTCTCAGATCTTCGATGGGGTTGAAGACTATATAAATGTAGTTACTTTCTCTCATGACTTGGCCAAGTTATTTATTATACAAGACCTAAGCTAGTTAGAATAGGATATTTGTACTTATTGTATATAATTTCATAGTAGGTTTAGAACTCTCTTATTTAAACAAAAGGGGGAGGTGTTGCGGGAGGTCCTCCCACTCCTCCAGCCTATCACCGCTGAGGTACCAGCCCACTGGGGCGTGGTTTCTCTCCCTTTAAAAAAGCGGCCACTTCCCTCTTCTCTCTCTCTTCACTTCCTGCTCCGCCTGCGACTAGACTCCTTTCCTGGTTGCGAAGAGGGCTGTTGCCTGGGACAGTGATCTGTAAGTTTTTTCCCCTTTAAATAAATACCACCCTAATAATCATAACCCCGAATTGGTGTGGCATTGTTTGTGACTTACGCCTTCACCTCTAGCATTAAAGTGTCCCCACAAGCTAGGCTCACTACTGGAGGTACATCACAGAAAAAATGATTCAACTGATTTGATCCACAAAATGGTAGAGAGAAGATCCAATATGTGAACCCTATATGCACAGGAACTCCAAATACCCAACAGCCAGTTGCCAATTGTATACAGAAACTATTGTTCATGATGACAGGGTAGAGCAATGGGTTGCAAATGGCAACATACCTGTCATAAGCCATAACAGTCAGAATAAGGCATTCAGTGGCCCCTAAACAAAGGAATAAATACATTTGAGTAGCACACGCTATAATGGAAATGCTTCTGTCTTGTCTGGAGAGACTGGTTAATAACCTGGGGAGAATGACTGACACATAACATATTTCTAAGAAAGAAAAATTTCCAAGGAAAAAATACATGGGAGTCTGCAGAGAAGGGTCAGTCCTAGTAATTATGATGATAAAACTATTGCTCATCACAATAATTAAATACATTATCAAAAACACCACAAAAAGAAATTCTTGCAAATTGGGAACATCAGAAAATCCAATTAAGATGAATTCTAACAACGTGGAACGGTTCTTTTGTTGTGGAGTTTTTAATATGGATCCATCCATGGATGACAGGTATCAAGGCTATAAGTCATTTACTCCATAGAATTCAAAAAATTTGTGACAAATTGTGTGTCAAATCCACAGACACAGTAGTGATGTCCACTTGTATTTATTTCCTTGAGTTATTTGCAAGCCTATATAGTCCCGTTTCCTAAATTTTCATAGAATACAAGAAAAGGATATTTAAAACCTTTTTTTCACACTCACAATAAATAATCATGGTTTATCACAAACCAAAAGAACAAGACACAGAGCAACAAAACAAGATCACAATGGTTCAGGCTGCCTATCCTTGGCTATAAACAGTTGCCTTCAATGTGTAGCACAGTGAGGAATGCTATTACCTTGAAGAAAGAAATGAGTTTCTGATCAGTAATATGGAATGAGAAGTTTATAAAACTCAAGATCATGTCAATTATGTAGAAGTCACATATGAAAAATAAGTATAAGTTCAATATATTGGAAGGAAACAAAAGCTAAAAGGATTAAAAAACAAAAATATAGAATCTAGTGCATTGATGTAGGCATTGAATATCTTTGATATATAAAAATAATTACTTGGGGTTAGTAATTGTGCCATTTAGTTAAACCTTCCTGAAATCTTGAGTTTTGTACATTCCTGATTCCATATTACTGATTTCTGCTCTTAGGATTTCAAGTTTCTTTATCCATCTCTTTTCCCCAAACATTAACATAATTTAAAATCTGACTCGGTGTTTTACTTTTATTAATCTTGAATTTCTGGGAGTGACTAAAACTTTGAGTGTGAATTTTATTTTCAAATTATTATAAACCTTTTCACATATTTCACATTCACAAGAGTAAATATAAAAGAGTAAATATAAAATTTTGGGTAGAGTGTAATCTTGTGTAAAATGATGGAAAGAGTAATCTATAATGTCTGGACTTTCAAACTCTAGTTTGGTTTTCTGAAAACTTAGAATTTGCTTATTTGCTTCCTTTACATAACTATACAATTTCTTTTTATTTTATAACTTCTCAAGAACATTCAATATTTACATAATTTTTCCATATATATTCTTATTTAGATGCAATACAGCACTCATGAAAAATAAATTTGAAAAAAAAATCAACTTGCACATAGAGAATTGAAGTTTCTTTTTTCCTGATGTTTCTGAGTAGCTGCTTGTGTAGTTCTGAGTAGATGACGATGATTTAATATCTGTCTTCTCTGTATGAAGGATCATAGGATGCAATTCATAAAATTCCACAGAACATAGGTGATTTTTTTTTTTTTTTGGATTTTCTACACAGGGTTTCTCCGTAGCTTTTTGATTCCTGTCCTGGAACTAGCTCTTGTAGACCAGGCTGGCCTAGAAATCACAGAGATCCACCTGCCTCTGCCTCCCGAGTACTGGGTTTAAAGGTGTGCTCCACCACCGCCCGGCCATAGGTGCTATTTTTATAGAGCTTAGAGACTACAGTTAGACCAATACATATCTAAATATGAAAGAATTTGTAGGAATAAATATAACTGTATTTAAGATATTGATATATCAGAGAATGAATGAATTGAAACTTAGCAGCAACGTGGAAAGTTTTGAGAAAATAGACTATCATGAATCATTTTTTAAGTTTTATTTTAAAAATATGAAAAATGCTTTCTAGAAGAAAACAACTTCATTTTCTTAATTGGCTTTCTGTTGTAATAAATAATTAGTTCTATACACAGGTGAGCATTTGTTATATATTTACAAAACTATTGCAGGGATGATTGCTCATTGGCTTCAACAACATGCTAATAAAGTGAATTAACAATGAGTTATTTATAATGGAAATTAGGTATCTAATTATATCAAATTTTCTATCTTAAATTTACTGTCTAACGTATCAATATCCTCACTGTTATATTTGGTTTTTGCCTTTCCTTCAAGGGGAAACATCAGGCTTAAGTGGTTATTTTAGTTCAGGAATAGCATGGGCTATGAACTGTCTGATCTGGATAAGAGCAGCTTTAGCCTCAGTAGGTGTTGACTTTATTGCTTACTTCTTATTTTGCATAATCATTCTAGCCCACGTTATCATCCCACTCGTATATCTCCTTGTTCTTCACTTTATGAGAGTAAAAAAATTGTGAATCAGCAAAAATACTAAGCTTAGAGTTAATAGCTTATAATACACTGAGTGATATGAAGAAGCAGCAACAACTAAGAAAAACCCCTTCTCAAAACAAAGAAAGCCGTCAGCCTAATTAACTGTATTTTCACCTCATACTAGATGAGGACTTTGTTATAGAAACACAAAAATATCAAATATGTGATCCAAGTCACAATATAAAATATAGTATCCTCAAAAGAACCTAATTTGATCATTTCTATCATTGGACTTGAAAGACTCTTTCAGGCAACAACAAGTGATTCCTTGGCAGTTTCTAGTTGGAAACCATGATTCCTACACTATCTTTACTGAAAATGCTGAAAATGTGTTTTCTCCCTCAAAACAAAATCACCTTTCCCTGATTACTTGTTTTACTGTTTTGTGGCAACTAAGGATAAATTTAAAGAATTAACAGACAGATCTGATTAATCATATTTTGCCCTTCCACTGACAGCTTCTGAGATTTTTCTTATGTACTAAGTGCTGTGTTATGAGTTCCTTATATGTCCCATTTAATGTGTTTCAAATAAAATAGTTATCTGCAGTTTTTCATGAGTAGCTGAAGGAAAAATGTGGTTAAATAACCTATGTACTATGGAGACAGATGAATTCTGTGAGAGCCTTGTAATCCAAGAGTCCATAGTCTCATAGAAAATTCAAAAACATTATGAAAAACAAAACAGAAAATATCATTTTGTTTTCTATATGCTTAGCAATAGCAATAAATCAAGGAATACCAAACAATTTTTCAACCACAAAATGATTTCATTTGAAGTCAAAATCCCATTATAAGAATTAGAGATAGTTTCTTATAGGTATGGCTATCATGCTCAGAATTAAGGAAATTATTCTACTGCAACCAACTGAATTGAAACAATTCTTATTATGTGTGATAATTTTTGATCATGAGGTTAGAAAAATCCACTGTAATTAAATAGGTGATTCAAATATTGCTTACCTTTTATATGTGCTGAGCAAATAAACATATTACCCCAATTTTAAGATTTGTCTCATGTACTATAGGTTATATTTTCATTTTTATTATTCAAGTAATAAATCCAGTCTTGAAGCACGTTCTTTAGCTTTAACTATCAAGAAATTATTCCTTATTCTTTAAGATATATTTTTTTCTCTAAGATGCATTATGTGCATAATATCAGAAATATATTCAATGTAGGATAACTTAGTGATCAAATCTGTTTGATTCTGTCATTAGCTTATTGTAACTTTGTCTCTGGGGAATATGCCAAGGGCAGTAGTCTCTTGGCCTTTTCTAGGTTTTTGTCGCAATCCTTTCTGTCTTTGGAGACTGCAGCTATTGGAAAAGTTTGTATAAGATAATCAAAATTATAAATGCATCCATAGTATGCATGGGAATCTAGGGCATTAAACTTTTAATAATTTAATCAATCTTGTGTAATTGCAATGGTAATTTTGATTTACACCTGCAAATATTCTGGTTCTCTTTAACAATTAACTTCTGACTTTCAGTGTAAACTGGTCCATTGTTCCTTCTGGTAACATTTGATATTTTCTTCTCATGCATAACTTGAATTTCAAGCCCTTTGATTTGTTAATAGTTAGTTATTTACAAGTTGGCAAAAGTGATCTAAATGTAGAAAAATCTAGTCAAACCATTCTAAGATTCATTTAATTTCTTCAAATTATTTATTATACCTGATATATTCTTTCATTGTTAGTGATAATATATCAGCTGTAGATCTTTTGAATTGATAATACAATATAATTCCCTATGAACAAGAGTAGAAAAAGACACAAAGGAGGTCATTACTCTAAAGATCAACCAGAGAAAGAGTGGTGACATCAGTACTGAGTAGAGGGCACATACTCTGTAAAGAATCTGAAAATGGGTACTGATGGGAGATCCATCCTGAGGGGTGAGTGTGTGCTGGTCCATCTGTTAGTCCATCCTGGGAACGGAGTACAGCGCCCCTTCAATTCCCTAAACATTTCTGGCTGTTCACTGGTGCATCTCCCAGGCTACTGGCTTTCTCTATTTACCCTATTCCATCCTGTCCCCAAGCAACCCTTTTCATCTGCAAAGTCCTAGGATCCCCCAACTAAGCCAGCCTCAGGGATGAGGGTGTGGGGAGCCAGTGGTGAGTGCTCCTGCTACAAGGGCTTCTTTGTTCCAGATGACCCTGTCTACACCAAGCCTGCCCTTTTGTCTGCAAGGTCCTTGACCCAGCAAGAGATCCTGCTCCTGAGGAGATCCATCTGGAGGTGTAAGTGTCTGCCCATCTGGGCAGATGGCTGTCCCGGGAACGGAGTACAGGTCCCTTCCAATTCCCTAAACATTTCTGGCCATTCAGCTAGGCATCTCCCAGGCTACTGGCTTTCTCTATTTACCCCATCCAATTCTGTCCCCAAGCATTCCTTTTTATCTACAGGGTCCTTACATTCACCAACAAAGCCTGCTTCAGTGTAGAGGGGATCTGAGTGCCAGCTCCAGTGCTGAGGGGACCTAAGAGAGGGAAGACCAAGAAAAATCCTCAAGTACACAGTAATCCACAGCAAAGATTGGACCAAGATGCCAATACTCTCCTGGAGGCATTTGAAGGAAGATCTGGGCAGGTGCCAATGCAAGAATTCCTCCAACAACCTGAAAAGCAACATGATAACGCCAGAATCCAGCAAACACACAACAGGAAAACTTGAATGCTCTAATTCATAAGTAGAAGAAATCAACTTCAAACGTAACCTTATGAAAATGATGGAGACCCTTAAACAGGAAGTAAAAAACTCCCTGAAAGAAATAGAAGACAAACAAAAAGTTAGAAGAAATTAATAAATCCCTCAAAGATACCCAAGAAAATTAAAGATAAGCAATCAAACAGGTAAAGGAAACAGTTCAAGACTTGAAG